AAATATAATTTGCCCTTCTGTTTCTTAACACTGGGCTCGAGGCCGCACCGTGAGATGCGCAGGACATAAAGCCAGGACACATAAATCAAGACTTGTTTGCTCGATGCTCATTTACTGATTGCATTGTTATACGGCCAAATAGCTGGTGCTTTTGGGAAAACAGCTTTCTCTTGCTCAGTGTTGCGTGTCATCCTGGCCAACTCCTTCCCATACGGGTCCTCAGGAGAGTTCAGCAAAGCCCTCCTGCAACTTTGATTAGAACCTTCCTTCTCATGGTTTCAACTCACTCTTCCTGGCTTATTTTACATGTCTAAAATACTTGGCCATCTTGCAAGGTATGACTCCATCAAAGGCAACATACAACTTTGTAGTTGTTGTTAGTCGTGAAGTCATGTCCAACCCATCGCGACCCCATGGACAGCACTCCTCCAGGCCTTCCTGTCCTGCACCGTCCCCCAGAGTCCACCTAAGCTCACCCCAACTGCCCCAGTGACCCCATCCAGCCCCCTCATCCTCTGCCGGCCCCTCCTTCTTTTGCCATCAATCATTCCCAGCATCAGGCTCTTCTCCAGGGAGTCCTTCCTTCTCATTAGGTGGCCAAAGTATTTGAGTTTCACCTTCAGTATTCAGCCTTCTAAAGAGCAGTCAGGGCTGATCTCCTCCAGGACTGACCGATTTGATCGCCTTGCGGTCCAAGGGACTCGCAGGAGTCTCCTCCAGCACCACCATTCAAAGGCCTCAGTCCTTCGGCGCTCAGCCTTCCTTATGGTCCAGCTTCCACAGCCATACATTGCAACTGGGAAAACCATCGCCTTGACTAGACACACTTTTGTTGGCAGGGTGATGTCTCTGCTTTTTAGTATGCTGTCCAGATTTGCCATAGCTTTCCTCCCCAGGAGCAAGCATCTTAATTTCTTGGCTGCAGTCCCCACCTGCGGTGATCTTGGAGCCCAGGAACATACAACTTTAATTCACATTAAAAATAACAGACACAGTAATAAAAAGAATAAAAATGCAGGGAGAACACAATCCATTCAGGAGGCCCAGAACCCTCTGGACTTGAAGAATTCCAGGTATCCCAAGCAGGTGGGGAGGAGAGCTGGCAGCTGGTGCATTGGAGGGAGAACGAAGGAGGCTGCTGCGCATCAGGTGGAACCGGGCTGCTTCTCTCCCCTCCAGCTGGAAGGCCCACTCAGCCGCTTCCCTGAGATCACTTTTGTAACTTTGGAGAAGCACCTGGTGAGTTTTCTTCCAGCGTCTGAGCCAATTTCTGTCATTTTTCAGAGGTGGGATGCCGAATAATCTGGCCATCATCCCAGCACTGGGATTGTGCCGTACAAACTGCAACAGCAGCAAACGTTCTCCAGAGCAGCAAACTCCAGCAGGAAATAAGCCTTAGAAGTGGTGCTCCAGCCCAGACAAATCCAACATGAGCAGGGAAAAGCCGGAGGGGAGCATCCAGCAGGGCCTTCCTTGGAGTTGCTGCTCAGCCCCAGTGCTGGGGAACTGCCCCCCAGGGAACCTGTTCCTGTTCTTCATGGGACACGGAGGGCCTTTGCCACTGCTTGTGCTCCTCCTCATTTATCTCTCCGCTGCAAAGTAGCCTTGGGTAATTCTGGACTCGGCCTTGGGGTGCGCTTCCTGCTTCCCATGGGTGTGGGGGGAGAAGGCAAGCGCCGACAGGCCGAGACACACGGGCATGGCCGCATCCAGCGCAGGGGCCACGAGGTGCTCAGGCCGAGTATATCAGTCTTGAGGGTTCCACAAAAGTCTCTCCGTGGAATGTGCGTTTCCTTCCGTGCTCCCCGTCCGGCGGCCAGAGAAGCTGGCTTCTCACAGCAAGGAGCAGGCAAGCAGCACGTTCCACCACGGAGCCGCGCGGTGTAATCGGATCCAGGTGGCCAGGAAGCGCACGCTGTCTGCTCGGTAGTTCTTGTGGAGCAGGCAGCCAAACGCCTGGGTTTCAGAAGCAGCCGTTGTGGTTTGTGTAGTGGCCAAGCGGTGTGTGGATTCCTCTTGCGAGTCAGCGGGAGGCGCCGAGGCGCTGCCCGGGGATGGAGGGGCGGCCGGGCGGTGGGATTGGGCCTCCGCATGGAATATGCAGTCCCAGGCCCAAGCTCAGGAATGATGAGTGCTTGATTGTGGCACTTGTATGGTGCCGCATGGACAAGGTTCCCTCCGTGGTTCACAGCAGCTGGAAGGGCCGGACCCAAAATGATAAAATGCAGTGTCAACGCTTGACCCTGCAAAATAAAATCAAACTCAAAATAAAGCCTTGCTTCCTTGGAAAGATTTGAAATGCATGCATGGAGTTAAAACAAGAGGAAACGAAAGACAGAAGGCTTGGGCTCGCGTGCTCGGTCTTTCAGAAGTGGAATGCGCGCCTCTGGAATCCTTTGTCCTGTTCGACATTTCTGAATCTTGCACACAGAAGTGCAGGCACTTGCAATGGGCTTGTGCGAACTGGGCCGAAGGAGTGGGTGCTCTCTGGCCACCCTTCGTGGGGGGCGGCAGAGAAAAGGAGCCGCTTTTAAACTGGGGGACTGTTTCCCTGCTACCTCACATAGTGATCTGACCCCAAGCCCAAAGAGCATCCTTCCCAAAATGCATTTTCTCCGCCACGCCAGGAAAATCTAACAGGCTAGATGAGTGATGGTGAGCCTTTGAGCGACCGAGGGCCCAAACTGCCACCCAAAACACTTATTTATCACAAAGGGCCAACACTGCAATCAAACATGAAAACTGAGGTTATAGTTCAGGAAAAACACCTCACTGCCAGTCCAAGCAAATATGTTTATATCCTTGGCAGCACACTGACCGGCCATGCAAAAGCTCAGACGAGTCACGGCTAATGAGTCGTGGCTCATGAGGTCATCACCTGGCACCACTACTCCTTTCTGAGCATGCGCGTGGCCCCTATGCGCGCTGTTATCTGATGCTCAGCTGCTGGGGCAATGCTGGGGTGACATGGCTCCCGTGCCGACAAAGAGGACGATTTGGAAAAAGCCTTCCTTGAGTAGCTTTTTCTGCACAGCTCATCCTTTCTGCCCCTTCTAAACACGTTCCAACCACCAAAACCATGCCAGGACTCCTCGTTTTTCTAACCCTCGGGAATGAATTCATTAGGGAATGAATTCTAATTTGATTGCCCTGCTTTTGTTGCCTTAACATTTGAAATTTCCAGGACATGCAGTTGCTGGCCTCGCGGACACAATGAACATTATTTTCTTGAGGAAAGAAGGGGCTTTGTTTAATCACATTATTTAAAGTGGGCATCCTTGGACAAAGGAGCCTCTGGGGCAGAGAGCACGGAAACCAAGTGCAGGGAGGAGGGGCCGGTGGGGCTGTGGGGTCCGGTCCCTGCTTGGGGCAGGACTGGAGGGGGAACCCGCTGCCTCCTCTTCTGATGACGCGATCCAGGCCAGCGGCCTGGGGGCCACTTTGTCTGCCCAGACGTGATGTGCCTGCCTTCGCTAGCAGCCTGCATTTCTGCACCGCAATCCGGCTGAAACTCTCACCGGGGTTCACATACAACCGCAACAGCTTCCCCAGAAGTTCACTTCTAGCACCTTTGCCCCAAACCTGATTGCGGGTTTTTATTTCCGCACAGGCTGCTGGCCTTGTAACCAGCTCCGACTCATGGATGGCCACAATTCGCATGTTTGCCACTATTGGTATCTTTCTTGCACTCGACGTCCTTCTGACCGCAGAGTTTTGTTTCAGGATGCGGCTGGCATGTCATTTTGGGCCTGGCCAGCAGTTTGCGCCTGTGCTGGAATGGGCTCGAATCCGCAGCAGCAATCGCCATAGCAAACGTTCTGGCTGTGGAGCAAGGTACCGGCCGGGAGGATGAACAAAAAGGCAAACCCGGTCGGGGAGAGCAGGCCAGGCGGCCTCCATCACGTGCCTCTAGGAAGGCTTGGCTCAGAAGCAGCCGGCCTTGTTGTCTTTAATAGAGAACAGAGAGATAATTTTATTAACTACTCCAGTAGCTCATTAACTGAAACGGGTGGGGAATGGGCCGGTAGCATCTGGAAAACAAAGCTGAGCCCCAGGAAGGGCAGAGAGAGAGAGGAAGGAACGTGCCCGGGGAACCCAGGGGAGAAAGGAAGCGTGCTCTCTAACACACCCGGTGGAAACAGGTTTCGGTGCCTTGCCTTTTGAACCATCATGATCGATCCAGCAGAAACTGGATCCCATCTCAACTCAGTTGCACCCTGCCCTGTGCCAAACATTTCCTAGGCCACGACAATAGCAGCAAACCTTAAAGCTGCCGCATCACTTAATCAAATTACACCCCCCCCCCATTTCATTCCAGAGAAAATAGAATTTAAATTGGAGTAGGAGAAAAACAACTTGAATCCTTGAAGGGAGGAATAAATATTAGGTATTCTGGTTTATGATTCCGGTCATAGCTTCCAGCCGCAAGGGCTGTTCTGTGGTTTCCACACTTGACTGTGGTTTCTCTGATCATCCAGACCAGCGCTGTGGTTTCCATGGTGCCACCAAGAGCCCCCCAGAAGGAGCAGCGGCTGTTGCAGCGCAGAAGCCGCTTTGGCCATCGAGTGTGGGACTGATGGGACGTGTGGTAGCGAGGGGGGACCTCACTAGCATAGTCAGCACTGAAATCTCTGGCAGGCACATCTGGGTACGGACATCCTGGTGCTGGTGCTGGTTGTCGCTGCCGTCGTCGTCATCGCTGTTGCTATTATTAGTCGTTGCTGATGGTCCGTTACTGCTCAAACGACTTGCCAGCGGGGTCTTGCCAGAGTCGGTCTGCTTCACCCTCTCTTCGCAAAACGGCTTTGCAGCCCTTCTTGTCTGAAGTCTTGCACTCGGTTCCATGGGTCCCCGCGACCGTCGGGCCCTTGGACTACCTGAGCAGCCATCGTCACGGCTCTTCCGTAAAGGTTGCTGTGATCTGGGTGGGATTGGCAACGAAGCAGAGGCCCCTGACCACCTACTCCTCCCCCTCTCCCTTCCCAGTTAAACCAGCTGGACAAGGCCGCGGAAGCTGCCCACACCTTCTTCGTCGCCAACCCGGAGCACATGGAGGTCCAGCAGGACATCGAGAATTACCGGACGATGGCGGGGAAGGCGGATCTGGTGGACCGAGAGGCCAGGCCACACATGGTAACGCCTGCCGGGGGCGCAGCCGGCCGGGCTGGACCCCGCGTGGGCCACGCCTGGCGGGATGCCCGGGGGGCCAGCTCAGTCCCACGACCAGAGCCGGCCCTGGGGAGGCCAGGACTCTCCGGGAGGCCACCCCCCTTCCCCCAGACGCCGATGGCTCGCTGGCACTCCTGCCCCTTCCTGAAAGCTGGTGTGTCTCCTTTCTTTCTTTCCCAGCTGCCTCCTTTGGCCTCGGCCCCACACAGCCTGGAAAAGGGTCCCCGGGAGATTTTCCATGGGGATTCCCAGCCCCCCTTCCCAGGCCCTCCTCTGGCAGCCCCTGCTTTGGCTCTGGGGGGAGGCCGCTGGGGAGGCGGCCCATCCGAGCCGAGGAATGCCCTCCCCAGCACTCTTGCCCGCCGCCTTCCGTGCAGACTCCCGGGCACCAGGTGGACAATTTTATTCCCCTGCACGTTTTGGTGGCCCAGTAGCCCAGCTTCTTGTACCGGAGCACTTGCGGATCCTTGCCGGGTTTTGCTCCGGTTTTTAGTTGGTTTTAATGCATTTGTGATGCACGGTTTTCCTCCTGGGCAGCATCTTTTTGACACAAGCAGCAGCACAAATTATTTTGTGGTAGCAAAGCGGTGCCGAGTGTGAGGCCAGTGGCAATTGCTGCCGTGGTGGGTTTTCGAGGGGTTTTCTTGGTTTGTTTATTGGTTTTTTAATTCTCTATGCTGCCCCATTAGTCAAAGTTTTCTCAGTGGTTTGCAGGACTAAACCTCACACTGTAACTACCAGAACCTAGGAAAACATTTGCTGAGAGCACAAGAAAACCAAAAGAGTAACCAAGATAAATCCAGCAGCCATGCACAATCCAAAAGTGTATTCACATAATTTTTAAAACTGAAGGTCTAAAACACCTGGACATATTTTCCGAAAAAATTGCATACCTGGCACCAAAAAGAGCACACCATAAGCACCAAGGGAGCCTCTCTGGGGGAGGGGGTTCCCCCCATAAGCGGTCTCACTGCCACAAGATGTCCTGATCCATGGAAGGTGACCCCCCCTGCCGGCTCCTCGTTGTAGCTCAGAGGGAGCAGTCCTCTTCCTGCCAGTGCTGGCGACCACGGCTGGGAGGTCACCGTTGCGCTCGGGACCTCCGTGGGGGCTTCCCACGGTGGAAAGTGGCTTTGGGCCCGATCCAGCACAGCTCTTCCTGTGTCTGTGAGGAGGGGTTGCGTCCCGGCCGCCCAGGACTGAACGCTCTGCGCGCCCGGGTGCCGCGCGCCCTTGCCGGCCCTGGGGGCTCCCCGTGGCGGGCTCTGGGGACCCCCGGGCAGCCGCCCGTGTCTGACCCACCTTCGGCCTTGCAGGAGGACTACCTCGCTGGGGTCCGGCTCTACGACCAGGAGGCGTTCCACCAGGCCATCGACTTGCTGGAGCGGGCGCTGCGTGAGTACGGCGTCGCCGACCTGGAGTGCCGCGTCTTGTGCGAGGCGCCGCAGAGGTTTGCGGAATACGAGTACCTGGACTACAAGGCCAGCCTCTTCGAGGCGGTGGCAGGTAAGCCCTCTGGGGAGGGGGGCTCCCCAGCCCTGCCCAGCCCAGCCGGCCTAGGTGGGGGCCCGCTCGGAGTCCGTGGGCTGCCCCTGGGGCCTTCCCGGCGCCCCGGGCAGCCCGTGCGAATGGCCGCGGCCCCACGGTTTCCGCTCCAGGACGTGGGCAGTAAAGTGGAGCCTGTTTGGCCACAGGGCGGGGGCAGAGGCTTCTCGCCCCCGCTGTGCGATGCCTGGAGCTCGGCACTCGCTGTCCAGAGAAGTGGGAGCGGCTGGTGCTGCGGGGCCAGGCCTGGCGATGGCACTGGCGCTGCTGAGGCTGGCAGCAGAGGGCCCTCCCACGGCTGCCTGGGGGCCCGGGGGCCCACCGCACATCTCCTCCTGTCCCTCTCTTAGTCCCTCCAGCCAGGGCCTCGGGGGCTGGATGGCGGCTGTCCCGGAGCACGCAGGCGGGGAGGGCTCAGAGGGGCACTTCCACGGTGGGCCCAGGCAGCCAGGGGTTCTTCGTGGCGATACTTGCACCCCGCCTTCAGGTAGAGACTCAGCTGCCCTGCCGCCGGTGGCCATTTGGCTGGACCACGGGGCCACAGGTGACACGCCTTCCCTTCCCACCTGCCCTTTCCCTTGGCAAGTGGTGGAGTGCTGCCGGGGAGGAAGGAGAGGGAGCGCGAAGGCTTCCCCGGTGGGGGCGCACGTGTGACGGCATTCGGAAGCTGGTGGGTGTCTCACTGCAGTGCAGCAGGGGCCGTGGTCATCCACGGTCCTGCAGAAATGCAGCCGTGCTTGTCCGCTCCACTACGTCAGGCCCCCCCCCCCCCCGAGGCCCTCCTGCGAGAGGGGGGGGCCTGCAGAAGGCCGGAGGAGAAGGGCCCCGACCCCGACCGTGCATGCCAACGATGGGAGCCGCAGTTCCAGAATCCTTTTAGGACCGCTCCTGGGTGAGCTGGAACTAAGGAAGAGTGGAACAGGCTGGAAGGAATCCTTTCCCCCTGCTTACGATGAAGGCCCCCGGCCACAATCTCGGTTAGCGATTCAGCCGAGTTCTACAGAAGCCTCTCTGTGTGACGCAGTGTTTTTCGGACCATCTGGAAAAGTCGATTTTGCGTCCAGGGCCCGCTCTACCAATCTTCCCCCGAGAAAAAAGAAGAATTGCGCAGAGCACATGCCTGATGCTGGGAGACCGTTCATGACCTTGCAGCCCTGGAACGAAGGCCTTGGGATTAGCGAGCAGGGGCTCCCACGTTTGCGCTTTCAAGCCTGCATTTGCACCCCGAGCACTCAGACCATCTGGAGGGAAGAGGCGAGCGAGAGCGACGGAGGGCCTGCCGCTGGGATGGCAGCGCTGACCTTGGCAGGGGAGCCTGCGGGTGGCACGGCCTGCCCGGAAGCCTTCCCATCTCGTCCGGAAAGCCCTCGTTTAGCCGGGGTGCCTGCCGGGAGTGGGGGAGGCAAGGCCCCCGCCGTCGCTCTTCTGCCTCCGTCCAGGCGGGCCGCTTGCTTCCCCTGAGGTGTCGACTGCGGCGGATCCCCGAGAAGCACAAGCCCAGCTCTGCACCGTGAGCGGGGAGGCTTCGGCTGCACGGAAGCACCCTGCCCCGCATGGGTCGCTGTGCTCGGGGATGACGGGGCGGTCCGGCGTGACAGCGATCGGAGGCAGAGGGGCTTGCGAAGGGAGCTGCCCGCCAGGCCGAGGCGAGGAGGCTTGGCGCTCCGAGGGGCGGCCCCGCTCAGCCGCGCGCCTCCGCCTCCCCGCCTCTCTTGCTGATTCATGACTGATCGCTGACCTTGAACGCCAGCAGACGCGGCACTTTATCTAATTCCCTCTTGGGCCCTCCGTGAAAGCAGCTGCTCAGCATCTCAGCAGAGCGTGTCCCAGCTGGGTGAAAGTAACAATCTGTCCGAAGCCCTAATTGCTTCTCTCCAGCCGAGGAAGGCATCTGAGGACAGAAAGCAGCCCCCTCTGAGGAAAGCCCACTGCCCGCTGAGCACATCCGTGGACGCGCTGTTTGCGCCCTCCTGGAGGCAGTGGGGCCCGGCTCCCGGAATCCTCTCCGTCTCTCCCGGTCTTGCTCTCCCCCTTCGGAGCCCCAGACCATGCCCACGTTCAGGCCCGTCGTGCATCACCTGCACACATCTCTTCAGGGCAGGAAGAGCGCGGGAGCGCAGGCACCCTCTCCAGGTAGACTGCCCCTGGATGTGGAAGATCCATGGTTATCGTGATGGCTTCACAGTTGTAGACTGGAGTGGACAACCGGCAGTGCTCCAGGTGCTTGGGCCTACAGGTCCCATCAACCCTGCACTGGGCTGAGTGGGGATGCTGGGAGGGAGGGCCCCCTCCCACCCCCAGGCTCTGCTGCCTTTTCCAAGCCATCTTTCCGTCCAGGAAACGGCCAGCCTCAGACATGGGGGGGCCTCTTCAGGCTGAGACGTCGCTTTCGGGCCACAAAGCGCCTGCGCCCTTGAAGTCCAACGAGGGAACGAAAAGAAAACCAACTTGCTGAGGATGCCCAAGGACTCCGTCACTGGGGGGGGACTGTTGCAAGCCCCCGTGCCTGAGACGAACCGCCCCCCTTTTCCTACCGGTGTGGCCAGTCGATCGCGCTTCACATGGGAGGCCAGGCAGACCGTGGCTACCAAAGAGTGTCTGAGTGCCCAGGGCTGCCGGCGGAGGCCAGAGTCCTAGGAGATGCCTGGCGCCCCCCAGTTCAGACCAGCTGCACCAGTTCAGACCAGCTGCACGCCATCTCGGAGGCGTCTCTCAGCCAGTCAACTGCTTGGAGGGCCCCCCCGCTGCATATGGCAGCTCCCCCCCAGCCCCCGAGATCCTGGCCCCGCCCCCGACTCGTCTTTCCCCCCATTTGAGGATGGCTTGTCGTGGCCTCCCAGCGACGGCACCCCCCTCGTCTGGGTCGGAGCCAAGCCCCACAGGTTCTCACGGCAGGAAAGGCAGGGAGCCCGGTGGGTGCCGAAAGAGGCCACGCTGGGAACCCCACAGGTAGATTCTCAGCCTCCCCTGGCACAGGTAGTCCCGATAGGTCTATCCCCCTTTCTCCCTCCGCCCCTTTTCTCTTTGCATCCCATCCCATAAACGGACCTCGCAGCAGCTCTTTACGGAACACCTGCAAAGAGCAGCTACTTCCTTCGCGAAGCTCGTTCTCCGTACGGTAGAATTATTGGTGCCATTTATTCCGCCACCGGGAACACCCGCGTGCAGGGTCCCGCCTCGCGATGCTCACCTGGTGGCGCCTGTCCTGTGCTTCCCCCGCAGAGCACTACCTGCAGGTCCTGGTGTGCCAGCACGAGTGCGTGCGGGAGCTGGCGACGCGGCCCGGCCGGCTCTCGCCCATCGACAACTTCCTGCCGCTGCACTACGACTTCCTGCAATTCGCCTACTACAGAGGTAACGCTTCTTCTCTGCACTTTTCGGAATCACCGCTGCCACATTTAAACATAAAAATAAAGAGCCTCTGAGCAGATGGGGAAGAGCAAAGCTGCGTCAAGGGCACGGCCTTCTTCGCATTTAGACAGGAAGGATTGTCCTGCCTCTACCGTGCTGACTGCACGTGCTCGGCATCGTGGGCGGTTTTTCTGTCTGGAGGGGCATAGGATTGTCTCCCAAAATCAATTATAATAGATGCTTCATTCGCTATCAGCGGGGTTTACCTAAAACATTGGTTTAAAAAAATAAAATCACAATGGCAGGAAAGATGCGGCTGAAAGCCCGTAGGACAAACTTGCCCCAGTTTTGGAGAACACATTTTATGGTGCCCAAAGCGAGTGGGGAATTCTACGTGCCCCTCTTTGGAGGCTGTTGAAAGTGGACCTCGGATGTTTAAAGCACGTTCCTTTGGCCTGAAGGTTCCCGCATCCACCCGACGCGGAGACCAGCCTGGGAAAGCAGCTCAGGCCGTGGGCAGGCCGTGGGTGGACGGGAGCAGCTGGAGCCTGTGGGATTTTGCTGGGGCTGAGCTGTCAGCAGCTCCCCTGGCGCCCCCGGCATTTCTTCCCTGGAGCCTCTCCCTCCGCTAGCGCTTTCGGGACTGAGCCCTCTGCCCGGGCCACGGCGTGTGCAAGCGATTCTGCTGGCAGAAGCGGCGGTGAACGGCTCTTGCCACGAGGAGGGGAGAAGCCGTGCCAAGGCGTGCCCAGGCTCCCCCCACGTGCGCGTCGAAGGGGCGGCTCTGCGTGTGAGCGAGGAACCCTTCGCCTCCTGCACCGGGGGGGGGGGGGCTGTCTGGCAGGGCGGGGGCGGACGGAGGGCAGTCCAGTGCAGCAGCTGGTGGGGAGAGGAGCTCGGGGAGGGCGGCCTGGACGGCTGGGCTTGCGTCTCCCCCCAGTGAAGATGAATGCGACACTCGGGGGTCAGGTCCTTCTGGGGGACGCGCTTCTGAGCTGTGCGATGGTTCTGCCCCGTTCGTGGCGTTTCCTGGGGGCTCCGGGTGATGGCCCTGTAGGGACTGGGGCTGCTGCTCCGATAGCGCACCCTTCCAAAGCCTTTGACTTCCATCCCGATCCGGAGGTGGGAGAAGCAATGGGGTCGATTCTCGATCGACTGGCCGAGGCCAGCAAGCCGGGCGAGGGGCCAGGCCGTCCCTGAGAACAGGCCGCAGCGGGCTCGGTGGGGCACCCTAGCGCGCAAACCGAGACGGTGGGGCGGACGTCACCTCATAGCCAGACCATACAGATGGAGCACAGTCGAGAAGCCCCATAAGTGACAGGAGACCCTCGGAGGCAGCGCTGACGCCTTCAGTTGGGGAGGGAGCAGGCTGTGGGCGAGCTGCGTTGCCCCAGCGGCCGGCTGCTCCAAGGCGAAGGCAGCCCAGCCGGCCAGCCGCAAGCCTTCCGCCCGGATCTGGCTGGGAGGAAGGGGAGGCAGGCCAGCTCACGGCACGGCCGGCCAACCTTGTAAGGCCCCTGGTTTGCCGCTGCCCTTTTCCCTGCAAGAAAAAGTCCTCCGAGGAGGGGAAATCGGCATCGCTCCACAGAACCTTTGGACGTGCAGCAGCACCCGAGTGCTTCCGTCGCGGCACATGCATGCTCCACCGCCCCCCCCCTCCACGATGGATCCAGACTGTGCAAGGCGCGTGCCGGCCCGCTCGCTTCTGGTGGTTCTTGCACGCTTCCCTGGTGTGAAATGCCACACTCGGAGCACCTGGACGGAGCTCCCTCCAGGATGTGCCGAGATCTGTTGCAGTGGGTGGGCGGGCCAGGTCCTTGGCCCAGTTTTGCCCGAGTTTTATCATGTGTGCATAGCCTGGGGCAGTGATGGCGAGCCTTTGAGAGCCCAAGTGCCCAAACTGCGACTCATAACCCACTAATTTATGGCAAAGTGCCAACACTGCAAGGAAACCCGAACACTGAGGTTTTAGTTTAGGAAAAACACCTCACAGCCAGTCCAAGCAAATGTATTTATGTCCTTGGCAGCGCGCTGACTGGCCATGCGAAAGCTCGGACGAGTGGCGGCTAATGTGTCGTGGCTCGTGAGGCCATCACCTGGCGCCACTCCTCCTTCCCAACCGCGCGCATGGCCCCTTGTGCGCTGTTATCCAGTGCTCGGCGGCTGGGGCGACACGGCTCATGTGCCGACAGAGAGGGCCCTGCGTGCTGGCTGTGGCCCGCATGCCACAGGTTTGCCACCGCTGCCCTAGGTCTTGCTCCCACGCAGTCCTTAAACCTCTGGGCTGTGACCAGGAGCACTGAGGAGGCGTCCTTAGATCTGAGCTGCCGTCCTCTTGGCGGAGATCAGAGATGGACGAAGCAGCTTCTTCGGCGTCTTGTGCGCTGAGTCCCCAACCCTCTTGCTCCATCAGCCCCTGATTTTAAAAAAGGGAGCCAAAAAGCACATTTGTTTTGTATACAGTCCCCCCCAGTATAAGCCTTTCTGTACACAGTGTTTCTGAGATAGGCCGTTTCTGTGCAACACCTGAGCTGAGCTGGACAATGCAGACCATGCTGCACCGCGAGGCTGGAGAGCGTTCTGATCCGCGCCGTAGCCCAGGCAGTGCCGATCCAGCTCCACGCAAAATTCTCTCCCGCCCCAGAGGGGCCAGTTTGCTCCATTCGTCTCTCCCGGTGGCTTCAGATTCCCTTTCCTGGCGATCTCCGAGGGCAGGGGAGCGGGAGAACCTCACAGCAGACCCGCGGAACCTGTTCTTTTTCGCTCCTTCAGTTGGCGATTATGCCAAGGCGCTGGAGTGCGCCAGGTCATACCTTCTGTTCCACCCGGATGATGCGGATGTCCTGGATAACGAGAGCCACTACGAAAGCCTCCTGGGCGGCTCTGTGGACCTTCGCAGCATCAGACCCAGGGAGGTAGGCATCTCGCATGCAAAGTGTCCATGGTTGTGGCTCCGTTCCTCTGTGTGTGTGTGTTCCTCAGCCATCCGCGGCATGTGGATGGTGCCGCCACACCTGCGCGCAAGAGGCCCTGTGCACAGGTGCCTTCCCAAGCCACATGGATGCAGGGAGCTTGCCCTGTGCAAACGCACTGAAGACCTGGAGGTCCCCGAGCACCCCAGGGATGGAGGCGCCATGCCAAGGCTTCCTCCCCCCGCAGGAGCCGCCCGTGCCCCCTTGCGGCTCCTTCTGCCTGGAAGTGCCTCCCAGGAGGGCTGCATCATGACGCCGCTGGGTCCAGCGCCCCTTCAGCCCAGCCACGCGGGCCCTGCTTCCGTCCAAGCTCCCGGATCTGCCGCAACCACGCACTGCTCGCTTCCCCTTCCTTCCCCTTCGTCTGCGGCTTCCCCTTCGTCAAATGTCTCCGGCGCCCCAGGAGGCCTGGGATCCGTGGCCGGGCTGCAGCCTGTGCTGAGCGCGCTTGCTTTGAGGGCCCTGGCCCGCAGCCCCTTCCCACATGGGCTGTGCCTGGGTCCGATAGCCTCCTTCCGTGCGCACCGGGTCTGGATCCCAGACTCCCGATCCGGACGTCCCGCAAACCACAGAAACGGCTGCGGGTGCCGCCTCCATTTGCCCTCCTGGACCTGCTTCGTGGCCTCCGGGACCAAGGCGTGGCCACACCCAGCACCCAACCTCGGGTTGTTTGTGTGAACGCCAGAAACCCAAGGGCCCAATCCATGCATGAAACGGTTCCGTGCGGTGCTTGATCGCCCTCTGGTGGCTGCACCCATGGACTCCCAGAGGAGTGTTCTGCAGGCGCTCGGCGCAAGCTGGAGGGAGGCGCTGGGGCAGCCCGAGGAGCCCCTTCCCGGGACCAGCACCGGACCCCCTTTCTGTCCTTTCAGGAGGCCGTGATGTTCGTGCAGCGACACAAGCTGGAGGCGCACCTGCTGCAGACGGGGGCCGCCGGGCTGGGCTTCCTGTACACGGAGCCGGTAAGAACCTCCGTCTGTGCGGATGCAGCGCGAGAGCCGGAGCCAAGGAGGACCGGGCACCGATTCCCACAGTGCCACCCACCCCGCGGGCTGTCCCGCTCGGCCTTGCATGCTCTTTGGGGCGCAGCTTTGCGCCCCACCCTGAGGCCCGGGGGAGGCCCTTGCCCAGGGCGGTGCTCCATCAGGTCAGCCGAACAAGGAGGATTCCATATTTCTCAAAATTATTCAGCGTGTTCCTTTTTGAGCGGCGAGGCCGGCCAGGCGCAAAGCGCAGGGGCATCGGTGCTGGAGCGCGCGAGAGGGCTCGTGGCTTGCAGCGCCGGCCTGCCCTCTGCCTCGTCCTTCGTGCCCCGGAGAAGCAGGCTCCATGCCTGACCGCAGCCACCGCAGCAGCTGCTTCGCAACAGCCGAGCAACTGCGACACTCTCCCAAAATTCCCCGTCTGCCCCCCGCCCCGAGCCAAAGGAAAGCTGAGCGGAGGAGACGTCCCGCTCCCCATACATGCAGATGGTGAAGATTGGCTTCATTTTCACTTCGGTTAACCACCCGGAGCGCCTCGGCTGTCGGGAGGAATGCAAAAGAACCGTGTGTGTTCTCACACACATTCCACGGAGCCAGGACACCTGTCAGCAGGCCTCTGCTCCACGAGGTCTAATCCTTAAAAAGAAGTGGTCTAAAATCTTTTGCGCTCGCTTCACGCTAAGCTAGCGCTCTCGGTGCAATCGTGTGCACTTTCCGGCAGAAAAAGGCCCACGTGCTCGGAGCTGCAAGCCTCCTCTCTCTAAACCTGGACGGGACTGAGCCTTCAGACGGCTGCGGCTGTTTCTTGCCGGAGCCCTTCCCATCCTGTTGAATCCCTGCCAGCCCAAAATCAGCTGGGAGCAAGATTTAAATGGCAGCTCCCACCTGAGGCTCACCTGGCCTGCCCAGGTGTGGCGCTGCCTTCGCCCTGCCCGAGGCCTTTGATCATGCCTCCTCGCCCGTTTCCACTCAGCTAAGCTCCCCGGCCCCCGCAATTAGCAGTTTCGTCTCTGTAAATTCTGCCCTGTTTTGCTTCCGGGTCAGCGAGTGGAGGATAGCTCCTTGACCGGACTCCAATGACTCTGCGCCTGATCTCCATAAGGCAGGTGCTTACAGTGCCCATTTTTTCTCAGTTTTGCTTTTGTTCATGTAGTGGGAAAGAGCATTTAAAAATAAACAAATTAAGGAAGGGGAGAGAAAAGGAAGGCACTATATCCCCCACCCCTACGTGTGCACACACAGCGGAACGGGAACTGACTCGTGAAAGGCTGTGGAGCAACCGCTGGCCGCAAACGTGGCTGGAACACTGAACAGGCAGCAATAATGGGGCAGAGCCTTCAAGAGGGACGCTTCTGATTCAAGAGTGGAGAACGATGGGCTTGAAGGGGCAGATCCGGCCCCCAGCATCCCCCCCTCCAGGCTCTCCGCAGCCCCTGCCCGCTGCCTCAGTCACTGCCTGCCGGCCATGGGCTGATGCGCGCCTCCTTCCCCTCACCTTTTGCTGGAAGAGCTCAGCGTCGGAGGAGATGTGGGACCCCCCACCCCAGGGGCCCAGATTCCTCGAAGCAGCAGCCCCCCCCCCCCCCCAGTGGTCTTTCCCAATGCAAGAAGAGGGACACCAATGTTATGGGACGCTCTGGAAGAGTGCTGAGCAGGGACCCCCGGGGTGTCTGTGCAGAGTTGTCCCCTGATGACATGCCGCTGAACCAACAGATTGTGGGGGGGGGGTCTGGGGGGGCAAGGAGAGAAAGGGGTCTGGAGTGGGAGAGGCAGGGGGATCCAGGATGGGTCGCCGTGGGTTCTTTCACCTACAAGGGGGCTCAGCCCATATGCTGCCCCAGGCTGGGGAGACCCGGGTTGAGGGGTGTTGTGTGAACCCAGCCATAGTGGAGAGCCAAACACCAAACACAGGCTGCATGTGCCGGACGGTGGCCACGGACGGATGCCCAGTTGCTGCTTGCGTCACGCCAGCGATGCCGTCGGCCCTCTGAGCCAGGAGGGGCCAGCCAGGCCGGCCGCTCCAAGCCAGGCGGGGGGCGCCAGGCCCCCCTGAGCTGCAGGCAACGCCCAAAGGGCAGCCCGGAGAGCACGGCTCTCGAGTCGCACGGGGCGCGGGTGGAGGGGCTCTTCCCCTCGTGTGCTAAGGCGTTGCCTCTGCTTCTGATTACAGACGTACTGGAGTGTCTCTGGGGACCGCCAGGACGGGCAGAGGTAGGTAGCCAGCCCTGCCCCCCCCCCCCCGCGTGCCTGAAGCACGTGCAAAATGCCCCCTCGCGCAGCACGGACTCGTGTCCCGCCGGGCCCAGGCAAACTGGGGGCGACTTGGCCAGGGTGCCTTGAGCTCGAGGCCGGGTCAGAGCCCCTGCAGGACCACTCCCCGCCTTTCTGCCTCGACAGAGGGTTGAGCGGGATCGCCCCCGTGGGCGGCGAGGGCTGGACCGCGGACCGAAGCCCCAGCGACTGCCCAGGGAGCTGCGGGGCCCGAGGCGGGGCTGCAGGGCGCAGGGCTTGCCCCGGGGCAGTTCTCACTGCCCCACCCTGGCAAGAGGCCCTCAAGCCCACCGCTGGGGGCCGCACAGGGGCCTTCTCCACCCCGTGGGCCACATTCCATTGCAGAGAAGCCCCTGGGGTGAGAGGCAACACACATAAACACGCACAGAGTTTATCTGGACTTCTGCTCCACAGGTTCCCCTCAGAGGTCGCAAGTGAGCAAGCAGATTGCTCAGGGGGGCCGCCTGAGAAAAGGGCCCTGCCGAAGCCGGACCGCGAGCCGAGGGAAGGTAGGATGCCGTCGGCAGGCGGGTTGCTGATACCTGCTCTGCAGAATGTGCCCCCCCCCCCCGGGAGAATAATCACTTCCAAGAAACTTGGCCCACCAGGGCTGCTGCATTCAGCCGCCCCAAGTTCGAGGCTGTGGCTTCCTTTAAGGACTCTGCGCTCCCCATAGGCAGCCCCTCCGTTCCTCCTCTGCCTTCCTTTTTCCCCGGCGTAAGGGTCTCCTCCAGGGAGCCTCGCCTTCTCCTGCCCAGAGCAGGACAGCCTCCGGTTTGCCATTTCTGTTTGCAGGGCTCGATCTGATCCAGGACCCCCATGTTCCTCTTTCCGCCAGTCCCACCCATTCACCGTGCTCTCCTCCCGCACCTCATTTCGAACACACTCCGTTTGCTTCCCACTGGTTTCCCGACTGTCCAGCCTTCACACCCAGGCATTGCGACTGGGAATGCAGTGGCGTGGGCGGCCTTGACCTTGCTCTCTTGGGAAACGTCCTTACGGCAGCGATTTTTCCCTAGTTCCCTCCCTGTTGCCCTTCCAAGTCTCAATCTTCTTGCAGCCTCCCTTTGAATTGATAACTGAGCCAAGGTACGTGAAATCTTTCACAATCTTGATTTCCTCATTAATAACAGTAAAGTTCTGTAATTCTTCTGTGGACGTGATTTTTGCTTTCTCGATGTTCTGCAGCAGCCGTGCCTTTGCACTTCCTTCTTTCACTTTCCTCAAGTCCTTGCTGCTTTCCTTCGGCAAAATGGGATTATCTGCCTGTCTTCGGCAGATAGTCTGACGTGCCTTTGGCCAAGTTTCATTCCTTCCTGTGATCCCAATCCATCTTTCCTGATGGCGGAAATCATTATAATAATGTAATGTAATAATGATGGGAATAATGATGATCTTTTCCACATGCAGTTTGTATAGGGAGATAAAAAACGGTCTTGTCAGACACCTTTGCGCAGGGGAAACCATTCCGGTTCTTCCGAGTCCGTCCTGACTGTCGCCTTCTGCAGGTTACACACCAGAACAATCGTGCACAGGGAACGCCCGTTTCTTTCAGGACCCTCGGTAGCTTCCCATGATTCACACAGTCCAAGATTTTGCTGTCGTCTCTAAAGCGCAGACTGATCTTCTTCGGGAATCCTTGGGTGCGTTCCAGTGGGCAACGTCTGTTTGGCACACGCTCCCTGGTACCTCGTTCTTTGCAGGATCCAGGTGGGATGCCCGGCATTTCTCATTTCATGCAGCCCAGCGTTGCTTGTTGCGATGCACCACTTTGCTGAGAGCTTCGTGTGAGATCCACGCAGTTCTCCCGTGGTTGCCGCACTCTTTTGCATCTCCTTTCTTGGGGAATGGAATATATGCTGAGAGTCCCCAGTCTGTGGGCATTGTTTTGTTTTCCATATTTACTGATATATTTTTGTTAGAATATTTTTGTTAGGTTCACTTTCTGCAGCTTGGCATTTTTTTGTTAGTCTCCTACCTGCTCCAGGTGCTCGTTCCTTTGCAAGCACTTTCTGAGCAGCTGTCCCGTGGCTTTGTAATTATGTGGCTCTTTTGCATAGGATTCCGCTTCAAAGAGGGATGTTATCCTTCCATCCAGCTCGTCTCCACCTTCTCTTTATTTTGCTCCTGGTCAGAGCGTGAGTTCCCCATTTGTCTTTCCACGTTCCTCATCTCGGCTGGAGCTTCCCTTTGATTTGTTGGAACGTCTGATGGAGGTTTCCTGTTTTCCCCTTTTGCTACTCTCTTCTGTTTCCTTGAAGGATCTTGCAAAGTACCACTTCCCCTTTACTCAGCACTGGTGAAGCCTCATCTGGAGTCCTGTGTCTAGTTCTGGGCACCACAGTCAAAGAAAGATGCAGAGGACTGGAAAAAGTTCAGAGGAGGGCAGGAAGGATGATCCGGGGACTGGAGGCAAAGCCCTGTGATGACAGAATGAAGAACTGGCTGTGTTTGGCCTCAGGAAGAGAAGACTGAGGGGAGACTGAGGGAAGGGCACAGATCTCTTCGCAGAGCAAACCTGCAGCAGCGGGTGGGGGGTTTTAAGCTGCCTCAGGCAGAAATTGTGCTGCGGATGCCAACCCTGCTTCAACGGAAATGTTCCGCAGAGCTGCCGTTGAGGCAGGTCCTTCCTCTGTTTCCCCCTCCCCTCCCCGCACGCGCAGACAACCCCCTCCAGTCCCTGGAAAGAGGATCCTTGCAGTGGTGCGGGCGTGAATGCATTTTGCACGACTGAGAGCCGTTCCCCCTTCTTCCATCTGGTTCGCTTCGTGCTGCGCCGTTCCAGCGCATGAGGCCGCGTGTCCAAGGGCCTGTGTTTTGTCTTCGCTTGGCAAATGCATTTTGGTTTGGGTGGGAGGTGTTGCCGCTGCTGTCAAGCTGTCCAGCGCAAAGAAACGGCTCCTCTCCACATCCTGGGAATCGCACGGAGGCCCCAAGCCGGCCTGGAGCCAAGCAGGCAGATGCCTCCTTCCCACACTGTTGCGTGCGGCACAGGCCGGTGCGCGAGATGAGACACGGCATTCCCACCCAAGCGACAGCGAATGCCAGTGCAGCCTCCGGATTCCCACAAGCGGTCAGAGAAACACAGGGCTGGCCCCTCTCTACACACAGGCCCTATTATTATCTGCAGCGACTGGAGGCTAACCGGTTATCGGCAAGACCATCTGTACCGAAGGAGCTTGGCTCACTGCAGGTCCCACGTGAATTTTCTGAGAGCTCCTTCTGCTGCTCAGAAAGGGGCACGAGTTCACTGCCTGGGCTGGAAAGAGACGCCGTCGCCTCTCAGCGGCTGCTGAGCCGTCCCAAGGAGGACTCCTGCTCAGCTGGAAGCCATTTGCAGGATGGCTTAGCAGCCCAGAAAATGGGCAACATCAACCCGGCTAAGCTGTGATGTAAGAAAAGCAGGGTGTGGGCATCTCGTCCCGGGGAGCCAGCCGCCCACACCCTTCCCTGCCGCCAGTGGTGAGCGATCGGACCCCAGCGGGTCTCGCACAGGGTTGCGGTCCCGGTGGGAACTCGCTAGACGAACTGGGGAGCGGGGGCTTCTGGCGGGTGAAATGGCCCATTCGTTGGCGGGTCGGATCCGTGGCATCCTTTCGGAATCTGCAGCGCTCCTGGACAAAGGAAGGGCAAGTTCAGCGTCGCTCTCCTTCTTCCAACGTGAAGGTTGGGCAGCCCTGTTTCCATATCAGTTTATGACTCTCTTAAAAGCCTGCGCAAAAATTCCCATGCAGTTTGGTGTGCATTTCTCCTCATATCCTAAGAAGTGCATTTTGGTACCTGCTTTTCCGAGACACGCGTCTTTGCAGGCCACCTTACCTACCTGCATGCCCCTTTCTGCCCAGTTCCCTCGCTGATGCATTTTCATGTGCTCTTCCCCTGGTTTCAAGTCCAAGTCCGGGTGGGCGCTCCCCGTGCTTGTAGGCACTGGCCAACGGCCAGCAGCGTCCCTCTTCTGCCCCCGGGGCCGCCACTGCCCGCGGCATCGGGGGTGGAAGAAGGTCGGTTGCTGATCCGCAGCGCCCCCCCCCTACATCCTGCAGCCGCTCTGGGAGGGGCTCGATCCAGGCTCAGCCAGCTCTGCAGGGCCAGGCCAAGCACAAGAGGGTGCCCTCAGACGCTGCAGAAACGGGTGCCCAGCGGTCCATCCAGTCCCAGTCCGCAGAATTAACTGGAACAGGTTTTCCCGGGCCATGCCGTTTCGCCCCGAGGAGGGGTGCTTGAATGCTCTGCCATTGCAGTGAGCCCCTGAGCGGGCCCGCTGTCCTGACCCCCCTGGGAAGAGGGCTGCCTGCATCCATCCTGCACGTGCTGAGTGCAAGCTCTTCCTCCGGAGTGCTGAGAACGCGCCTGCGTGCATTTTCCAGGAAGGCCCCTCGCCCTGGAGAAGCCGATCACACACAGCCTAAAACGGCTCAGACCCATGAGCAAGTTCGTTCGTTCGTTACTGAAACTGTCCACAAGTAGCCACAGGCTCTCTGAACGGCTTGCAATGAACACGGGATAAGAACCCAACTTGATAACAGTTGTTGTTTTTAGTCACGAAGTCGTGTCCGACCCATCGCGACCCCATGGACAACATTCCTCCAGGCCTTCCTGTCCTCTACCATCCCCGGAGTCCACCCAAGCTCACACCCACTGGCCCAGTGACCCCATCCAGCCTCCTCATCCTCTGCCGTCCCCTCATTCTTTTGCCCTCAATCGTTCCCAGCATCAGGCTCTTCTCCAGGGAGTCCTCCCTCCTCCTCAGGTGGCCAAAGCATTTGAGGTTCATCTTCAGGATCAGGCCTTCTAAAGAGCAGTCAGGGTTGATCTCTAGGACTGACCGGTTGGATCGGCTTGTGGTCCAAGAGACTCGCAGGAGTCTCCTCCAGCACCACAATTCAAAGGCCTCAATTCTTCGGCGCTCAGCCCTCCTTATGGTCCAGCTTTCACAGCCATACATTGCAACTGGGAAAACCATCGCCTTGACTAGATGCACTTTTGTTGGTGGTGTGATGTCTCTGCTTTTTAGTATGCAGTCTAGATTTGCCATAGCTTTCCTCCCAAGGAGCAAGCATCTTTTAATTTCTTGGCTGCAGTCCCTGTCTGCGGTGATCTTGGAGCGCAGGAAAATAGAATCTGTCGCGACCTCCATTTCTTCCCCATCTATTAGCCAGGAAGTGAGAGGACCGGATGCCATGATCTTAGTTTTCTTAATGTTGAGTTTCAAGCCAACTTTTGCGCTCTCCTCCTTCACCCGCATCAAGAGGCTCTTTAGTTCCTCTTCACTTTCTGCCATGAGAGTGGTATCGTCTGCACATCTGAGGTTGTTGATATTTCTCCCAGCAATCTTAATTCCAACTGGTGATTCATCTGGGCCCGCCTTTCTCATGATGTGCTCTGCATATAAGTTAAATAGGCAGGGCAACGGTATACAGCCTTGCCAAACTCCTTTCTCAATTTTGAACCAGTCAGTGGTTCCGTGTCCAGTTCTCCCTGTTGCTTCTTGACTCGCATATAGGTTTCTCAAGAGACAAATAAGATGGTCTGGTACTCCCATCTCTTTAAAAACTTGCCACAATTTGTTGTGATCCACACAATCAAAGGCTTTAGCGTAGTCAATGAAGCAGAAATAGATGTTTTTCTGGAACTCCCTAGCTTTCTCCATGATCCAGCAAACGTTGGCAATTTGATCTCTAGTTCCTCTCCCTCTTCGAAATCCTGCCTGTACTTCTGGTAGTTCTTAATAATGGTACAACATAATAAATTTGGCATCGCTCTTAAAGACACTGATCGATACCCAAAACCTGTTAAATATGCACAGATGGCCAGTCAACAATAAACAGCAACAAAATTAATTAAGCTCCTCTCTCCCTGTCTAAAGGCGTTGGGGGGCCTTGGGGGTGCCGCCCGCAGGGGGCGAGTCGCCCAGGGGCCCACGTCCTGCCTGGCTTCTGGTCCAGGGGCACCGCGAGGTGGGGGCTGCCCCCCGCCGGTCTCGTGGGGCGCTGCCTGCCAGGAGGGCCCCCTGAAAGACACTCTCCCCCCTGCCCCCAGGCGGCCCCCTGCTCTTCGGCGACGTGCAGTTCGTCTACAACTCGGAGCAGCTGAACGGGTCGCAGCGGGTGCTGCTGGACAACGTGATCTCGGAGGAGGAGTGCCGGGAGCTGCAGCACGTGGCCAGCGTGAGTAGCGGGGCCCCGGGTGGCCCAGGGGTGCAGTGGCCACTGCCCTAATTCCAGAGGGTAGCGGCGCTCCCTTCTAGGAGCGGAAGCCACCCAGGGTCCTCTGGCGCCGTGAAGACCCCTGGGGCGCAGCCAGGATCTGCCTTCCTCGGGGGGAAGGGCTGCCCTCCTCGGACACCCACCCCGTCCACGCCTGTGCCGCCCTCTCCCTGCCTCCTTCTGCCCTGGGAAGGGGAGCCCGGGAGCCCGCTGGGTCGCGATCCGGCCCCGCTTGCAGCATTCCCCAAGGCGTGGGCTCCTGCTCAGGTGCCCCAAGGGGGCTTACTGCCCCGCTGCAGCCGACACACGAGGTGACCCCCTTGGCACGCAAGCAGGCAGAGCGGAGCATCTCCATGTTCAGGCGCTTCCGCCACTCGGTCGCGGATCGGCCAGCAGGGGTAGTGGCGAGGGGCGCCTCCTTCCAGGCAGACGTCCTGCACCTGCCACGCCGGCCCGGCTCGTCCGGGAGCTCCCGGCACGGGCAGATTCGGAGGAATGTGGTCCCGCAGCTTGGCCAGCCGGGATGCCAATGTGGCCGTGGGGTGCCCTCCGCTCTGCCTCCGGCCGGCCGAGGCCTGGTCAGCGCGGAACAGCTTTCCACTTCGTCCTGCCTCGTTCCTGCCTCGGTTTGCCAATCTTTCCGCAAAATACCTGCAGGAAAATGCGCACCCTTCCCCCCCCACCCCATACATGTGGATCCAAATGCAGAGGGTCACATTTCCAGCCACCGGGGGGGGGGGAGGGGGGGGGCCAAACCACCAGGGGGGGGGGGGGGTTGCCTTCCCCCGGGCCTGGCATCCCAACCCCCCCCCCCCCGACACCTTCCTTGGCTCCCACCTGGGCACCTCAACCCTCCCCATTTCTCTAAACACGTCACCAGTTTTTCATCCCAGCAACTGGAATTTCTTCAAGGCAGGGCGGGGGGGGGGGCAGCCTCCCCCAGCTTGCCCCTGTCAGAAGCTGAGCAAACAAGCCCCTATACTGGAAGCCTGCTTTTTAAAAGCTAGCTTTTATTAGACAAAATTGCCCTGTATTTCCCTCGCTGGCTCCTCCACGAGCCGAGGCAGAAATGCGCCTTCACGCAGCCCGGCTGGAGCCCCTGCCTCAGCTCTGGCCAGGGGGGCACCGTGCGGGCTCGGCGTGCAGGGGGGGGGCCCAGAGCACCCCCTCTCTAGGGCCGAGTCCGCCCTGACCGTGCTCCCTCTCTCGCAGGGCATCGTGCTGGCCGGAGACGGGTACCGGGGGAAGACGTCGCCTCACACGCCCAACGAGAGGTTCGAGGGGGCCACCGTCCTCAAGGCCCTGAAGGTGCGCCGTCGAGCTGCCCGCGCCCCACGGACTGCCTGCACCCCGACCAGTGGCGCTGCGCCACGGGCTGGCGGGCGGGAGGAGAGGCCTGCCCAGCAGGGCCACAGGTGGCCCAGCTCAAGGAGCCCGCCGGCAGAGGGCGGAGAAGCCCCGGTCGGCCACGGGGTGGGCCGGGTCCACTTCCTGTGTCCCGAGGGGGAGCCTGCAACGGCAGCCCCCTGCCCACGCTCCTGACCGCTGGCATGGAGAGACCGCTGACCCCAGAACGGGGGGGCCTGTGGCTGCCCACCATGACGAGTGGCCCTTCATGGCCACAATGCCGGTGCACGTGGGGGGACGCGCGAGAGCCTCTCTCGTTGCCCATGGCTCAGGCCAGCTGCTTCCGGCCCAGCGGGGGGCTGCCCCCTGCCCCCAGTTCTCTGCTTTTCCTCCAGGCCCTCCTGGACATGCCCCGGGCCTCTCAGTGCTTAGAGACACCAAAGCACAGAGAAAAAGCGAGTCGGAAGGGGCCTCCTGGGCCATCTAGTCTGACCCCAAGTAACCCCCAACATGTGGCTGTCTAGTCTTTCCTTGAACACCCTCACTGAGGGGGCCTCCACCACCCCCTCAGGAACACATCCCATATCCGAGGGGGTCCTAACCATCAGGAAGTGGTAGGACGCCACGCTGGAAGCCCATTTCCTTGAGCTTTGCTCCTTGGGACGCATCCTGCCCTCCGCTGTGAGGAAGAACAGTGTGGTGTAGTGGTTATAGCATGGGACTGGGACTCAGATGATCCGGGTTCGAGTCCCCGCTCAGCCATGGAGCCAACTGGGCGGCTTTGGGCCAGTCACAGACTCTCGGCCCGGCCTACCTCACAGGGTTGTTGTTGTGGGGATGAGATGGAGGAGGAGAATGATGTGAGCTGCCTTGAGCCCTTTGTCGGAAAAAGGCAGGATATAAATTAAAAAAAAAAAAGAAGAAGAAGAACAACTCACGGCCCTCCTCCGTGACACCCCCTCGCATGCCTAGAAGTCGCTTTTCGCCCCCGCTTCTCCTGCAGACCGTGGGGTCTCCCGAGCCCTTCCTGCTGCCCCCCGGGGCCCCTCCTGGCTGTGAGCTGCGTGGCCCTCGCTGGCCGGCTTGGCCTCGGGGGCAGAGGAAGGGGCCCCGCACCCAACGCTGTGGGCAGGTGCAGGGTCTCCCGGAGGGGTGGGGGTGGGGCCAGCTCGCCATGGGGCCGGCACGGCAGTAACCCCGAGGCTTGCCCGCAGTTCGGCTACGAGGGCCGCGTGCCCCTGAAGGGCGCCCGCCTCTTCTACGACGTGAGCGAGAAGGCCCGCCGGATCGTGGCCTCCTACTTCCGGCTCAACTCCACCCTCTACTTCTCGTACACGCACCTAGTCTGCCGGACGGCACTGTCAGGTGAGGCTGGAGGGCGCAGGGATCCTGGCTGCCTCCCTCGGGGTCCTCTGGCCCCCACGACCATGGCGGGGCCCCCACTCTGTCGCCCCCCGATTGTTTGCCGCAATCATGAAAAAAGGGGGCACCAGGAAGCTCGGGGGGGGCATGAGCCCCACAAATAGGCGCCCCCTTGCTCCCACGCCCCCTCAGCCCCCAGGCTGCATCCGCTCCAGGCCCAGAGAAGCCCCCGCCTCGGGCGTGCACTGGCCCGTAAGCTGCCGCGAGGGTCCTTCAGTCTGCTGTGCTCTGCCAGGGGGCCCCTCGCCCGGCTGAGCTTGCCCTCTGCCCCCTCCCAGGCCACCAGGAGCGCAGGAATGACCTGAGCCACCCCATCCACGCCGACAACTGCCTCCTGGACCCCGAGGCCAACGAGTGCTGGAAGCAGCCCCCCGCCTACACCTTCCGGGATTACAGGTGGGTCGGGCCCTGGCCGGAGGGCGGAGGGCCGCTGAGCTGCAGGCCGTCTCGTCTCCAGTCCGAGCCTCTGAGCAGCTCTTGCAGCGGCCCCTTTGGAGGGCAGGTCCCCCTTCAGTCCACATCTGCCTGCGGGAGGGGGTGCCGAGGACAGCGGGGCAGCCCCAGAGACAGGCCAGCAAGGCGCTGTGCTGCTACGGCCACAACTTCTGCCCAGCGCCTTCGACCAGCCGCCCGGTCAAGGGGCTTCAGTGGACGGGAGAACAGGGAGAAATGGTCTGGGGCTGGAGCATCTCGTGCTCTCGTGTTTCCTTCTTTGCACAAAGACGGTTTGGAAGAGCCCTGCAGAAGAGGGCAGGATGCCTCCTGCCGCCCAAGGGCCCAGTCCAGTTGTGGGGAGGGGGGCTCTCCGGGGCGGCATTCCAGTGGGGAGGGCGAAGAGCAAGGCTGAAGGTGGGGGGGGAGCCAAAATGCCAGGAATGCCCGAAGTGCCGACATGTTGCAGCTTGGACCTTTTGCCAGGAACGGGTCAGGATCTGACCCGTGGGGGAAATGCATCAGGATTCCTCAGTTCAGCCCCCCAAGTCCGTGCTGGCGCCAGCCGCTGCAGGCAGCCTCCGAAGCCCTCCACGGCTCGGCTCGGCCCGGCTCGCGCTTGTGCCACCGCACCGGGTGCTTCTGGGCTCCGTTCTGTGCACGGGTGGCTGGTTGGTGTGCCAAACGGCACGTGAAAAGCACGGCGGCTTCACACACTTTGCACAATAGTGCTGGCTGCACTGAAGGCACGTTCCCTCCCAGCTGTGTGTGTGGAAAAGCACGCAAACCTTGGGCCGTTGTACAAGTGGCTGCCCGTGAAGAAACCTCCACTCAGCCTCCTTCAGGTGTCGGGTCGGAAGCGAGGTGAGGAATCAGGTGAGCTCAGGGGAGCTGCACTTCCGGCCTCGGCACATCCGTCGCTCTCACTGCTAGCAAATGGATGCATTGCGAGCTCTGGCACAAGGGTTAAGCAACACGAGGACCCCCCACCCACTTGGCGGCTGCGCCGGCCCCCCCCCCCCCCCCAGCAAGAGTCCTGGAAGCCGTCGCGTCCGTCGCTCTGCTCTGGGAGGCTCCGCAGTGGCCATCTTGGTACCCGCCGTCGGCGAGGCCGAGTGAGCGCCACGTGACATCCACTCAAGGCAGGCCACGTGACACGGGGCGAACGACGGGGTCCCCAAAGTCCCCTGATGCCGCGCTTGAGCAAAAGCCTGCATATATGGGGTGAGATTTTGCATCCAAGGAGAACTCTTCCCTGACCTCACATGAGGAATTAGTTTCTTTCTGAGCAAACGATGAAGGCTCTCGGGCTAAGCTCCTAGGTCATGACTTGGGGAACCTTAGCATTCTCCAGGCAGCTGCCGCCCCCCCTGCCCCTCCCGCACATCAGGAATGCTGCTAATGATCAGATCATGATAATTTAGGTAGAGCTTTAGAGCATTCAGTGTCTGGCTGCATGTTCTTGGAAATCGCTGCAAGTTTTAGTTGTTTATTTTGAGTCCATCAGCCCTAAAGAGCCAATAATTCAGTCTCGGAAACCCAAGCCATGTTCTCTTAATGCATCTTTACATTCCACAGGATGAGACTCAAAACCAATCATCCCGTCTGAGTATTTTGGGAGTATCTCATAGTGGTAGCAAGGAACTCGGCACGGTTTTTGCTGATTCAGCACCTGCCAATATCCTAGAAACATAAAACTCACCGGAATGCAGAGAGGAAAGGCTGTGAGGTGACGCCGCTGAGCCAGGTGCCGGGGGAGCCCTTTAAATCAGCCCCTGGCCTCAAAGAAGGTTTGCCTGCCACTGGGGGTGGTTCCCGTTGCCAAGGAGCTTGCGGGCCACGAATCGGCCCAACCAGGGGATGCTGGCAGGTGAATCCCTCCTGCCTTCAGAGCCATGGGTGCAAGAGCCCCGTAAGACCGGGCAAGTCCGCCTATCACTGACGCAGGTCCGAGAAGCGGGCCATCAGCCCACGGAAGCCACACGGTCCGAACGGGGGCTTCCTCCGTCCAAGGACCAAGATCACTCTTGCAGCGTTCGGAGCAGCGCTGGGCACCCAGGGCCGCTTCGCCAGCACCGGCCTGGGCAGGATGACACCACTCGGGCGGGTCTTCCCCTAACCACCCCTGTTTCCTCCCTCCTGAAGTGCTCTCCTGTACATGAACAGCGACTTCGAAGGCGGAGAATTCATCTTCACCGAGATGGATGCCAAGACGGTCACGGTGAGCGGCCCGCTTTCCTTCTGTGAGCCACCAACCCGTGCAGAAAGTTGCTCGATGTGCATTGTGGCTCCCCTTCCGCACCCCCACCTGGGGGCCCAGGCTCTCATGCCACCCGCTGGACCCCCACATTCACCCTGCCCAGTTACAACTGCAATTTACCATTTCCATCTTTAAATGCCCAACTGAAAATTTATAATTTTGTGCAGGTCTCTCCTGATACACACATTTTGGGTGCGCTTTTTTAAATGCATGCATCCCCCGCCCACAGGCCATGCAAGGGTTCTGCATGCATTTCCCTGATACGTGCATTCAGTGTACATGTCCCTAGCATGCAGATGCTTCTTGCACATTTTTAAATCCACGAACTTGCTTGCAACATGCAGCGAAGAGCCACCGGGAGTGCGGCTTTGCTCGGTTCTGCAGAGATGCCCTGGGATGGCAGGCCGGATGGGATTCTCTCGGCTCCCGGTCAGAAGTGCTGGCATGTGCATCCCAGCGGGCTGAGGCTTCCCTGCAGGGATCGCCGGCATGCTCCTTTTAGGGATGTGGCCCAGCTCCCTGGAGAGGCTGCCGGAGCTCCTTGGTCCAGCTTGCAGAGGGGCACATGGGGCTGAAAGTTTCCCACTGGCCCAAGTAGTCTCGCTAGGAATAGCATTCCAAGCGGACGCTGGAGATCCTGCAGCCTTGTCCTGCCCCCTGCTGGCCGTGCTGGCAAATAACAGCCAGACCCTCCTTGGGCAAGCTGGCGCCCTCCAGCAATGGCCGTGCCGGCTGGGAATGATGGGAGCTGCATCCCTCATCTGTGGAGGGCGGCCACTGTGGGAGGTCGCGCTGTGTCGAACCGCTGCTCAGAGAATCCGTGAAGCCCTTTTGGGCGGAATCTGCTGGGCGGTAGATTTTGTGAGCGGCCGCGGGAGACTGAGTGCAGGAACGTGGAGCGTGGCCTGTGCAGGGTGGGCAGCCCGGCCTCCGCTGCCCTGGCGAGACGGGGCGAGGGCGCCTTTGCCGTGGGCCTGGGAGCAGGGGCTCCACCTGGGCCCAAAGGGGATGCGCCGCGGCAATTTCTTCGTTTAGAAAGATGCTCCCCGGTCCGGGGGGGGGGGGGACTGTGCAGAGACGATGGAGGGGGTGGTTTTCTCCCCTTTCTGTGCTCCTGAAATGCAGCAGCTTCTGGGCAATTTCAGACGGCCTGGGGGGAGCGCTTTGCCCCACAAGTGGGAGCTTCCCTTATGGAATTTGCCTCCTGAAATGGCAGGGCTCTGAAAGGGGGTCATGCAAGTGCCGCAGGCAAACTGCTGGGAGAAGAGCAGTGAGGCGGGCCCCTTGACCCTGGGGCCGCACCCCCCCACAGACACCCTGGGGCAGCCCCTGTGCATGGCGCCCAGTTCAACGCCGGGATGGGCTGCCGCGAGAGCTCGCGGGGAGGCCTGCCGGCACGGAGGGCTTGGCGGAGACGAGGCGATCCGGCCCGGAGGCTGACTCGGCTGCTCGCCGTGAGGGCGATGGAAGATCCTGGGGTGCCTCCAAAGGCCAGCCGATGAGCCGCCCACGTGGGTGCGTGTCCGTGCGAGGGGTGCCCTCCTGCCCCTTCACCTCGCTTCTCTGCCGCCCCGTCGCCCTGGGGCTCTCTGGGCGGCCCACTCCATTCTGCTCCTCCGGAGAGACCCAGTGTCCAGAGCCCCGCTAGTCGGCCCCGTGGCGGAGCGGCCCCCCCGGAGGGATCTGGGTGCTGCACGGGACGCCTCCTCGCCTCTCACCCCCGCCTCTCTCGCCTCGCCGTTCCCAGGCGTCGGTCAAGCCCAAATGCGGGCGGATGATCAGCTTTTCGTCCGGTGGGGAGAATCCGCACGGCGTGAAGGCGGTCACGAAAGGCCAGCGCTGCGCCGTCGCCCTGTGGTTCACTCTGAACCCGCTGTACCGGGAGCTGGTGAGTGTTTTCCCTGGCCTCCTGCCACCGATGCCCCGGGGTCTGGGGGGGGGGGCTGTGCCTCCCCGTGCCTCGATTTTGTTTCACTCCCGGGAGGTCATTTCCCCAAGGCTCCAACGAGGGACGCACACACCTTGCTTCTCTTGGCAAAACACGCAGGTGTGCCCCATCCCCTACCCCAAGCGCAGGCAGGAGCAAAGTCCCTGGGGTTTTTGGCAGCATGGGCGCCCGGTCAGGACAGGAATCGCGTCTTGCGTCCAGAGCTGCTCTGGCAGGGTCAGGCTTTTGGCAGCTGTATTATGGCCATGTTTTTGCTCGTCTTGTCCTGACATTGGACCTGCTCTGGAAGAGTTTTGACTTGGGATTAATTACTGGCATTTCCTAAAATGACAGTCTGTGGTAAAGCTCTCAGAAGAGAGACTTTTTAAAAGCCCTTCAGCTGCAGTTCAACTGGGGACGCTAACGGATTCCCCTTTCTGGGAAGAGTGTGTGCACCGGCCTGTTGCAAAGGCCCGGGTTCCTATCAGTCCCATGGCCCGGTCCCTCCTCTCGTCTGGAATAGCTCGAACCCTGCGATTCCGGGGGCTGCTCTCGGCCTGCAAAACCTCCCTCAAAGGCGGGATAGTGTGAGGCGACCCAGCTGCGGTTTGCAGCTGGGTTTGCAGCTGGTGGGGGGGGGGGGGGGGGGGGCTTGAGCTGGGGCACCAGCGCCACCTCGTGGGTCTTTGGGGGATTAGCAGGACGGCGTCCAGAACGGTGTTCTCCTTTGAAGAACTGGCAAGGTAGCTGTACCCGTGATTGGACCAAGTCTAATGGCTGAAAGCATATGCAAGCTTTTGAGTCACACAGAGCTCTTCAGAAAGCTGCATGGCCATCACAGGGGAATGCCAGGAGCTGTGGGACCTTCTCTGCCCAAATTGTTGAGGCATGCTCCTGTGATTTCCGGTCAATTAATAAGTACTTCGCCACACAGAAGGAGTGCCTGGAAGAGGGACCCTCATCCCCGCCCCCCCGCCCCCAAGCCAGAATGCTTCCCAATTTCCTTTCTTCCCCCCCTCAGGAGCGAATCCAAGCAGATGAAGTCATCGCGGCCTTGGATGAGGAGCGCCTCGGACCCCGTGAGCTTGGCATCAACCCCAAGGATGAGCTCTGAGCTAGGCCAAGGACACACAAATTGAAATATTTATTTAATATTTGTCTCAAATCTTATCAGAACCCTTTATTTTTGTACAAAGCCTTGGTATAAATTAATGAACGGGTTTCGTGGGGAAGGGCAAACAGGTTCCCGTGGCCCCTCCTGGCCCCCCGTGTCCAGCGCAGCTCCCCACACGCCTCTGCACGCACCGGAGCGCCTCCTCCCAGCCCTCCGAGCGCCACTCGGGGTTTTGCAGCCGTGCTCCAGGCTCCCATCTGAAGCCGCGGCCCCTCTGGCTCCCGGCAGCTCGCAGCGGGCAGTGCCAGAAACGGACGGGGTGCCGTTCCCCACAGCCGCCTCCGGCTCTTGGGGGCCTCGAAAGCCCCAAGGGCAGTCAGGGCTGGCTGGTGGGACTCGTGGGACGCTCCTCACACACCCACGAGGCGTGCATGTGCGCACCAGGCCTGAGCCCCCTGGTATGACTGTCAGGACCCACCCGCCCCGCACCGCCCGTCTTGCTCCGGGGCCTGGCCTGGCCGAGCGGCGAGAATGCGGCCCTCCTCCAGTCCGTCGGGGCTGCGCAGGTCTGTGCCCTCGAAGTGCCCCATCGGGGAGCGGGCGCCACCTTGCTACGCCCAGACTTCGTGGCCGTTGGCTTTCTCCATGGCGAAGAGGGCCGGGTCGGCGCAGAATCCGGGGATGGCCGCGCTGTGTGAGGCAGAACGACGGAGCTCGTCCGCAGCACCGGCCTCGAGAGGCACGTCAGATGGGCAGCTGGGGCCTCCCGGGCGGCCCCCCCCCCCCCCCGAGGGCCAAGCTGGGAGGGCTGTCGGAGCGCTTTGCTGGCCCGGCCCGGCCCGGCCGAGGGGAATCCCACAAGCCCTCCAGAACAGAGGCCGCCCCACGGGCAGCCCTCTCCTGGTCACATGCGCAGCACAGCAAAGCTCGCACAGGGCTCCGCTCCGGGCAAGCGTGGGGCACATGGTCGGGGTCTGGGCCTCGGGGCTGCCCCGATGCAGAGCAGAGCCCGGGCAGCCGAGGCCGGGCCCCAGCAGTGTCCTAACACAGCCCAGGCCCGGTCGGGACGGGGCCCCGGGAAAGGTCTCTGCCTGGGGCGGGTCCATCCCCCACTCGGGTCCCTTCCGCTCTCCCTGTGGGTTGGTCCCCTGGCGTGCCTTCATTTCCCCACCTTACAAGAGTCAGTGGATGAAAGAGAGCTGGAGCCCGGCTTGGGGCACCTGGTGGGGCAGCACCACCTGCCCCCGTTCACCCTCCTCAGAAACGGGCCGCCCCGTGCAAGGCGAAGGGGACCCGAGCCTCGTCTGCACTGAGCTGTGTTTGGACCGGGGGAATAAACTAAAACCGGAAAACGGCTTGGCGTGCTTTCCCTGTGTTTTATTTCGTCCGCTCGGTGCTCTGAGAAGCAGCAGGACAGGCGAGCAGTGGGGGGGCCGGTGCACCTTCCCGGGTGGCACAGCATCCCCGTGGGTGCGGCGAAAAGGTGCCTCCGGATCCAAGTTCTGCACTTGATTTTGGAGCTTGGGGCTTCCTGGTTCGGCAGGACCGCGCTCCCGGGACCATCCTGGTGTGTCCCAGCTGACCCATGCCGCGCCCCTTGCCGCAGGCTCTCCCTCCTTCCGCGCAGCCACAGCCTGCGCCTCGGAATCGCGGGGGGCCGAGGGCCCGGGGAGGGGGGGCCAGGCACGCATGTCGCCAGACAGACCGAGGGAGGCAGGTGCCTGGCGTGCGGGGTTTGCGTGTGTGCGCAGGGGGGAGTGCGATTCGCTCCTGCACGACGGTGTCGCCCCAAGGTGGCCGTGGGGATGCAGGCGCACGGGCACGGGGGGGCTGGCGGAATTGCCCCGAGCTGAAGAAGGGCTTGGGATTGGAGCCAGCCGGGGAAACGGCCCCCAGCTGTGGCGTCCGGTCACTTGGCGTGCCAGCTCACGGGAGCCTCTCCTGATCCGGCGATCAGGCAGCCATTCTCTTGGGGAATGTGGAATCGGGAGGAGCAAAGGGAAGCAGGGGGAGCGGGGGCATGTCTGGCTGGGCTTTGGCGCCTGGAGGCCCCATGGGTGCTTTGATGCCACCCGCTTGCCAGCCCCAGGTTTCGGGCCCCTGGGCAAGACACCCCACACGGGCCCCTCCCTCGGTGAGCCTGCCTCCCCCCATGGCTCACGGCTGCTCTGACTCAACAGCCTCATCTGCCCTCTGTTCGGCCCCCGCCTGCTCTTCCCAGACATGCAGAGCACCCAGGAGTGGGCGTGTGTCTGGGGGGGGCGGTCGCCTGTTGCCTCCGTGAGCGAGCGGCAGGTGACCGGGCAGGCGGCCCCAGGGAGAGGGGAACGACGCGGGGTGTGTGGGGGGGCGTCCTGTGGTTGGATCTCGGCTCTGGAGCGGTGCCCAACTAGGCCCACCTTTGGCGCCGGCTGAGCTGTTGCCTCAGTTCCCCCTGCGGAGCTCATCAGCTGGGAAGATCACAGGCAGGTCGAGTCAGAAGGGGCCAGGGGGCCGCCGGGCCCACCCCTGCTCAGGGCAGGACCCTCACTTCCCCCCTCCCGCTCAGGGGCTGCTCAGTTGCACCCTGAGTGCCCCCCCTGTGGGAAGGCCCCCCCCCCCCCGGTCTCGGTGCGCACTGTTGCTCTGCTCCAACCTTCACAAAGCTCTCCGGGTGTCCAGCTGGAAGCTGAGCCCGTCACTCGGCGCCCTGCGCTCTGGGATGGTCGAGAGCAGATCCCGGCCTTCCTTGGGGTCCCATGCCCAGTTCTTCCCATCTCTCCCACTGGGCTTTGTTCCAGTCCCTGGACCACCCAGGCTGCCTGTGCCTTTCCTGAGCACAGGGGCACTCGACCCCCCCCCCCCCGCAGAGTGCACGGCGCGCATTCTCCCCGCGATGGGGAGGCACCGCTTCCACGAACGCCGCCCCAAGGAGCCTCTGCCGCTGGAGCAGCTGCGCCTCACGCGACTCAGTGGGCGCCCGGCAAGGCAGCGGGGCCTTCTCCTGCGCGGCACCGGAGGGGCAGGTCGCCGCAGCGGCAGAGGGTGGGCCGCCTGCCACCCAGCGCTGGCCTCTGCCCCACACGATTCCTCACTGAGTAGCTGCTCGCTGCCCACACCAGCAAATGCCACGGTGTGTGTGTGTGTGGGGGGGTGCCAGGCGAGCGGCTGCTTGCAAGTCCCAGGCCCGCTGGGTTTGACGGTGCCACACGAGCTGGCCACAGGCGCGTTTGCGTGGCACAGTTACCCACGGGCTTGTACATCGATGCTGGAGCGCGAGGTCCAAGCGCCGTTGCGGTGTTTCAGGGTGTCACATTTGGTTGGTGGGAACCGGCAGCAGGACGGGGGGGGGGGTCTCTCTGCACCCCGGTGGCTCGAGGTGTCACCCGAGCCCAGAAAATGCGCCCATCACGGACCCAACACCTGGACCCTGGGGCTTCTTGGCAGGCGCATCTGCTGCGGCTCCTGCAAGGGGCTGGCCGGGGAGCCCCACGTCTGCCTGCCCCACTGGGGGTCCTGCCGCGAGAGCCACGTCTCTGCTTCTCCCATCTCGGGAAGGGCCACAGCCCTCGCCCCCTTGCTCTCCTGCAGGTTCTGGTTCTGGATCCCATTCCTCTGAAGTCCAGCCAGCAGCCCTTGAGAACGAGCGCCCAAAGCAGCCGCCCTTCTTGTTCCCGTAACTATGAAAACAATCGATCCCCATAAAAGCGACCACACCAGCACCAGTGAAACCTGCACCTCACAGATGTCGGGAAGGCGAGCGGGTTTTCGAAGCCTTCCTGGGGACCTGCAGCGGCCCACAGCTCCACCGGCTCCTGCAGGGGGGCAACTTTTTAAAGCGAATTTTGGACAGTTTGGGTGCATCTAAGCATCCCGTAGCCCTTTGGCAGATGAAGCCAGTGCCAGGCAGGGATCACTCAGCCCTCGACGGTCATAGCAAGCACCGCATTGTTAGATTATGTATGATACATTCTTTAAAAGTGCCTTTAAGTTGGCCAGCAGCTAAACTGAGAGCTGGATCCCTGCTGTGGGCTGCGTTATGGATAAGTGAGCAACGCTGAAGCGCATTGAAGTGCGCTGGCAGCAGGTGGCGCTACTGCCACACTGCATACAGTCAGAAATGCTGCGAGCAGACAAAGGGCCCGGCTGCACTGCCGTGGGGGTGTCCCATCATTCAGCAGTGGTGCGGGGCAGCTGCACAGCTGCTTTCTCGGATTAACCGAGCCTGAAGGATGAAAAGCGCTAACCCAAACCTATGAAGCTCCGGGGTGAGGAAAGGAACCTTCACTGTGGGGTTGGAAAAGCTGCCAAATTGTCTACCACACCTTGAGAGGATGAAAGATTTATTTACAATACAGTGCACTGAGTTTGAAGCAAACGGATTATTAAATCTATCCCTGGGAGGTAAGCCACGGAGTGCTGCTCGGAATCTTGCTTATCCTACGCTGCCCCACCCTGGGCTGAAAACGGGGCAGGGTGGGACCCAGACTGGTTTGGTAACTTTATTGTACAGCTACTGTGTGGCTGAAAACCACAGTGTTTTGGGAGCTTGGGAACCAAGCACCCCTCCCCAAATGGCCCAGACTGGGACGAGCTGGCTCCCTACCGCCCTGTCAGAATGAGGACGGATCCAGCCACGTCCTTGTCCCTAGTCAGGGGCTCGGCTTCCCGCTGTGTGCCACATCTTTGCCTGGATGGGCGCAGCTCTTGGGCGGGGACGTGCCCGGGGCCGCCCTGCAATGCCTTCCCATCGCACGTTCAATATCGAGCCGCCCAGTTTTCTTGGGCTCCATTTTCCACCCGTACAGTATTTTGCTGACGAGCAGATTTTAATTCTCGCTAGCAGGAAATCTGCAAGGAAGGCCAGCTCCCTGCCTGCTGATCCAAGTGCATCCCGCAGCATCTTCGGGGAAATTGCGAATGGCTCCGCCGCACTTTTGGGTCGGCTTTGCCGAGTCGGAGCTACTGGGCCATGCAGACCTTAAGAGGTGGTTTGACAACCTGGTTGCAACCCCAAGGAGCAGGCAGGAGAAATTCACTGCAGAAGGCCCCTTTCCGTGGCCCTCTTTCCA